TATAGGTATTGATAATATACCTTACGTATATTAGAAAAAAAATTAGCAAACGATATATCATTTGCTGTCATTTTTTATTTTACCTTGGCCTCGGATGAGGGCTGCCTCTAGTGTGATGCATTGGATGGCGATGTTGCGATGGTGGAGGATGCCTGGGAGATTCACTATTCTCCACAGGCGGCAGGAAGAAATTGCTTTTAGAACCATGTCTTTGTACTGGCGGCGTAGGTTCACAATCCGCAGACTGTGACGCAGTAGGTTCCATGTCTGTATCTGATCCGTCTCGTCCAGGAGACAACTGGAAACAATAATCAAATTGATGCTGTCTCCATTATAATAAAAAATTAATGTATCTTACTAAATTATTATAGCACGCTTTTGTACAATAATAACGCACATTTCTTAGAAATATAGACGTTCAACCAGGATGGGTAAGGAACAGGGAACTGAACAGAAAATAACTGCATCTTTCCAACGTTGTAAATAAGATATTACTGAGAGGAAGAATCGTCGCTTGAAATGCTTGAACTCTAAAGAAAGAAACTCGGAATTAACGAATAAATGTTTAAAACTTTAAAAATCGTGCAATCGTCTTTTTAAACATGTTAAGATACGCACTACATCTACAATTTGCAATGTATAACTTATTGAAGCTTCGAAGCGCGGAAAAGAATAGTATAGCACGAACCTGAAAGATTAAGTAAAGCAAAGTGAATTATGTATCTATAATAAAACTACATACAACTCGTCAAACATCAAAAAAGCGTTAAAATCACATGCTAGAAAGGAAGAGCTATTTATACTTGTAAAAATCTTCTTGTATGTAGTATCAGAAGTGTTAAGCAAAGTTGCACTAGCTCTTACCTTATTGTAAGCATTTGAACTGGCATTTCTAACACCATTGCTGCTATCCATGTAGGTTTTTACCTGGTTCTCACTTCCTATAGTCGATATCTCAGATGTAGAAACTCCACGCCGTTTTCCTGAATATTTTTCAGGCTTAATCAAACTGAAATGATATAAATTCATAATTATTTTTGTTATATTTAAATTTAAATTATGATTAACATTATATTATATATTTACATATATTAATATTACCTGGGATATTGTGGTCCAAATTGCGTATAACAGCAATTGTGTAAGCAACCATGAGAAAAAGGATTGTAGCCTCCATTAAATTTACCCGTTACCTGTTCATTTGTTGTACGTCCTCGAGAAACAAGTACTACATGAAAACCAGTCAATCCAAAAATTGGAATGAATAAAAGTATAACCACTCCCATGAGTACAAGTCTATTTTATATTTAAGGATATTTTATATTATAAGATGTAAGATTATAAATATCATAACAAAAATATATACCATTCAAGATATTAAATGTTGTATGAATCATTCATAATATTTGCAGCTTAAATGAATGATGGCCAAGCATTCGATATATTAAATTTTATGTTAAATAAATTATATTATTTTGCAATATGATTGCAAATATCAATTCAGGAAAAAAGGATACGCAACAATAGTGTCCACTTCACCTAATTGTTGTTTACGTTCCAATACAAAATATAGGCAAAGTCCAAATATACTGAGCATATGAAAACTAAGTGACAGGAGGAAGAAAAAAAAGAATCTATAATTCCTCCTGCCAATACAGTTGTTTACCCATGGGCAGTGATGATCAAATGTCTGAAAATATAAAAAAAAGAATTAGACTTAAAAAAAATAATCATTCAAAATATATTTACCTCAATACATACCTCAATACAATGATTACACACACTACAATGTGAACAACGTGGAGGTCTATAGAATTTGCATGTGACACACCATTTCATGCGAACTGTAATACCATTGATTTCTACATTTTTATATAATGGAGCATGGAAATCATCTTCTCTATCCTCGTCAGGAGGTGCTTAAAAAAATAAAATTATACTTTTTCAGCAACTAGCACAAGTTTATTTGATGATTCTTTGATTTTATGTATGAACATACCTTTTGGAATAACACCTGGATCCATAAATGTTGCTAGTGTAAAATTTGCCAAAACAAAAAAGGTAATGACTCCTTGAAGAGCAGGTACCCATGTTCCCCATCGAAACACGTAATATTGGCATCTATAAGATCCAAAAAATATATGACGAACACATATTTTGATAAATTGGCACAATCTTGAAAATGAAAACAGGAGCGCAAACATTGCAACCACTCACGAGAAGACAGACATGTGTGCGAAACTTACGGAAAACAGAAGAAGAGTGTCGTAGTGCTGAGTAGAGCTGTCCAGGCAAACGTAGCTGGTAGATACCTTGTCTTCACATCGCATTTCGGCATTCTGTACACTCCACTTCGTGGTCGACAATTAACGAATTATTAATGGGTAAGATTTCTGCTACCAGAAAACATGGCCGCGTCCATCGGCGCTACTTATTTGCAAGTTGTGCGATCCGTATTTAGCACGGATTTCCATTTCCACTATGCCTATACATCCGTGGCATCTTGATAATTGTTCTGTCTATTACTCGCGCGTCACTTCAGCAAAAACATCCGTAATGTGATTAATATTTAAGCGCTTCTGCATACACGATCCGCGAACACACTACCTTGCTGACATACATATATATTATGTACATATATTGTGCACAGATAGTGAGCCGTGCCCTCTGTAACACGAGTGTTCCACAATACGATCCACCGGGACCTTGTGGTTCGCTTTCATAATTTTCCTTTCTTATAAAATTGCACTCATAGTTTAATGATGCTTAACAATATCGTTGCATGCGATACTTCCAAACTCTTGCAATTTCGAATTTTGTGTTTATCGACAGAAAGTATTAATAGTTTTTACAAAAAACTTCTTTACCGACGCGATCTTTCTTTATTCAAGTGATGAAAGTGACTCTTGAATCAAATGATTCAAATTTTTCTCAGTTATTTCTTTTATTTTTTTATTTGATAAATATAATGATTTGTGTTAGAAATAAGTATAATTTTATTTTACAAACTAAATTTTAAATTGTAGAATGATTGAATACATTACATTTTTCATTTCTTTTAGAAAGAATAATATGCAATTAAAGTTTGTATAATCACAAAAATCGTATAAAAAAATCGAATAGCTGATTATATCGAAGGACCAGCTTATAATTTTCTGCTATTTTCTATACAATAACATATACAAACATGAAAAAATTAGTTTAAAATTCAGAATAACCAATAAAAAAAACTGATGTAGAAGAAACGTTGCGATGATGCTATATTAGGAAATATGGCAAGAGGCCAACCAGATGGCAAATTATAAATTAAAGAAAGGAATTTCATCAATAGAAATTATTTCAAATCAATAAGGTGTTCCATATATATTTTCATCTGATAAATTCGATACAATCGAATTTTACTAATTTGCATTATCATTTAATCAATCAAACAATGATATATCATATTTGTATAATATATTTTTAGAACTAAGAATATATTACTAATAATATTTATATCATTTATGTTTTTGTGCATTTGAAAATTAGAATAAAATTATGTGTTGTATATAAAAGAATATTTATACATATTAAATTTAGCTATAAATCAACACGTATCCTACGTAATAATTATTTATAACAGGTGTGAAATTCAAAATAAATTTGTATTTTTTTAATTCAATTCAAAATTTTTGTTTCATTTTCTTTAATTATTTTTGTTTTCTTCATACTGAGACTCTTCTTCTCTATATAAGAATTCTTCGTTATTTTCAAATAAATTTCAAATTATTTCATAGATTCCCTTTTAAAAATATAATTAATCCAAATATAAAATGTAATAAAATAAATTCAATCAATTCAACAACAATATAATCAATATAATCAATGCATAATAATACATAAAATAATCTATTTTTTGTTTATTATTTTTTGCAATCTCTATCGCACTATTATTCTTTCAGAAATCCAACAACGATAAAAAAATCGATAATCCTGAGATAAACTTTAAACTTTGAGACCGAAATGATCCGCAATGATGGTTCAACATATTGATACGCTATATTGAAATATTTTATGTAATATTTTATGTAATAATTTCAAATAGAGGTTGATCTACGCCACGAGTAAAAATGGAAGAGATGTTATTATTAGGGGAATTTATTTTTCTTAAGAGGTAATTTTGAGATGGTGGATCACCGAGGGCGGTATCCGCATGCCTCTTTAACGAGTCGGTTTCCGACTACCGGCCTTTTGCCAACGATGATTTTCAGAACTTGGCACCCAACGTAATTGCTTTTGCACGCTCGAAACGCCGTTCTGTCACTCCTCGGTGAGCATTGATGAGAGTAGCGCGTGGTGAATGTTATCTATAACCACGGCAACCACGACGATGATGGTGACGATGATGCTCTGGCACCGAAAATATTTCTAACGAGACAAATTTACATATAACGTATCTGTTGGCTGATCTTCATACGTGCCCCTCCAACCATTTTAAAACGATTGAATGAAAACTAGTACAAATATTTTACATTCCTACTGTCATCCAAACCGAAAATCTTGTATACGCGTGCCTATCACGGCTAATTGATCACCCGATATTATTTATAACCACCAGATTATATATTCTTCGAGGATAACAATTTCTCTCCGTTCTGTCTCAAACTGTCATTCTCAATTTCAAATTGTTGTTCCACTTTTGTGAAAATGAAATGATGGAAATCATAAAATTCTCCGGGATAAAATAATTATTACGTAATTATCCATAAGTCGAAAACAATGAATTTACCATTCATTTTGTAATATAACCTCAAATTTTATCGATCGAATACTATCACCTTTGATTTCATTTAACGATTGGAAAGTCAAATTTCAGAGACATCTTTCTTGCAAATTAGAAGGAAAGAAGTGGAATATTATTTTAGCAGAGGCTTGGAACTAATCTTTCTTCGCTATTTACATCATTACCGATGCATTAGAACGATTTGTTTAGACGGAGTGGTTTTAGTACCGGCAATTTTGGAATGTTTACGATGTTTGAGAAGAATAATAACCGCGGAACAGTTGTTCCCAACCAGTTCCTATCCGTGTTCGACGAGAAAATGGCCTCTATATTTTTTTCGAGTTCGAAAAATGCTTAAAAAAAATCGCCGATGAATCATCTTGAAAGAGTCCCAGGATTCGTTATATTTTCGCTGTACAGCAAGCCAGGTAGAAGTTGGTGTTGTAATGGTTTGCAATGCGTAGGCAGTATCTAATGTAAGAACAGCGACAGTGTCTGAAAATTGCATGTCGATCCGTTTCGTTATCGCGAAGGAATTATAACTATTTGCGCGAAGACAGATAGAGATATTCTAGAGGAGGATTATATTTAAATAATCGCCGTTGGATGACGCTGGCCAATTGAATTGAATGACCGCGATAATGATATCGGTGAAATGATTTTACATAACAAAATCATGGAATATGAAGTGATAATAATAAAAAACAAATCATTATTGATTTCGTTATCTCGAATATTATCCCGCTTATCCAAATAATTAAAAAATCCCTCCGTTCTACCAAAAATAATTTTTCCCCAATTTTATTTTTACACTCGCGTAACAGATACGTTTCTAATTGAATAAAAATAAATCCTGTGATTTCCATTCTCAAAGAGAGTTTTATGAATGGCCACTGATATTATACTTTCCAACATCATTCTTTCCTCCAAGATTCGACCGAAATTCATCGATCGCGGCTGCAAACCGTGTGTGAAAATAATCCGGTAAACCGCCACGAATGAAAACCGTACAGGTGATCGTGCAAATTCGAATCTCGATCCGTTTGATTTAGCGCCGGCCTTCCGACATTACGGAGGGACCCACTTATAACATATTTCATTTTTCGTCGCGTCGCTCTATTTTTGCGCCCACCGGTTTTCTAGCTGGTTTACCAGACGCTGTGGATGTCTTTATACCGGGACGGAAAAGCCGCGGCACTTCAGGTATCCGTCGTCCGCCGTGCGAAGTATCCGTCACCATGGTAAGCCTCGTCTCCATCCAAGTTTCTCTCGATGCGGTGATCATTTTCTTCGTAAAAGTGGGAAAGAACGCACTATGTGTATATACGATGAATAATTGTGGCTTGAAAATAAATTCAAAATCGATAATCGTATATATATATATATATATACATAATCGTGCGTATATTTGCAGGAGGAAGACGATCAAAAAGTGGCCGTGATGCGAAAAGCGTTTCAAATGTTCGATACGACGAAGAGCGGTTTCATCGACACGTTGAAAATTTCAACGATATTGAACACGATGGGCCAATTGTTCGACGATTCCGATTTGAACGCCTTGATCTCGGAGAACGATCCGGAAGGGACCGGTAAGGTAAACTTCGACGGATTCTGCAGAATCGCTGGCCGATTCTTGGAGGAGGAGGATGCCGAAGCGATGCAAGAGGAATTGAAAGAGGCGTTCCGTTTGTACGATCGCGAAGGGAACGGATATATAACGACGGCCACGTTGAAGGAGATACTTGCCGCCCTCGATGATAAACTTACCAGCGCGGATTTGGACGGGATAATTGCTGAAATCGACACCGACGGTTCCGGCACTGTTGATTTTGACGGTACGTGCGTAGACCAGGCCTGGTTTCACGAGCTTTTATTAAAGCTGGTATAATTTTTATTCTAATTCTCATAGAATTCATGGAGATGATGACTGGGGAATAAATGGTGAAATAATTTGGCAGAGCGACGTCGAAGACAGTACATTTTAAAATAATATTTTAATATTTTTTTTTTTTTGATGTTGATACTAGTGATCCTATTTGAAAGAAATTTGTTTAATAAAATATATAATACACAAAATCCTTCCACTTCTTATCGTTATTTGAAATCCCCCAGACTTGAAAGTTCTGTTATACAGCGTATATTCGAAAAATAAATTGATTTGAGTGATTTGCTCTTGACAGCAATTTTATTCATTACGATTCATTTTGTAATTTACATCGGTAAAGTTTTTTTTCTTTTTTCAATTAATTAATAATATTAACAATATTAACAATATCGGGCGCGCTTAGTCTCTCACTCGAATACGATTGCTAACAACGTTGTGCGCTTCACCGTGGTGGAGGAATATTTACTGGGTGATGTCGTTGGTGGGTTGACCTTGGTGGAAGACGAGAACATCTTTTACGAAAATGTTAGGAACGCTGAGAGCACCAAGGGACAACGGTCTGTCCAGCGGGAAACCGAGAGGTTTGCCGTCAAGGGAAATGGCGCCGCCAATAATCTCCGAGATCGGCTTATTCTGGTAATATTCGCTGACAGTCTGGTCCTGGACAGTTTGTGGTTGAGCGTAGATATTTTGCCAGCCACCGGCGTGTTGCTGCCCACTGGCGACCATACCACTTGCCCAGACTGCGCCTTGGACCTGAGAGTTTGGCCACGTTTGACCTCCACTCTGGACCCTTTGCATGCCGTATGGAACATTCATTCCTTGAACACCTTGTCCAAATACTTGTTGCAGAACGCCTTGGACACCCTGGACACCCTGGACACCTTGCATATTATGGGCAGCTTGGACGACACCTTGGACACCTTGGACACTTTGTAATCCTTGTAGTCCAGATTGTTGTTGTTGTTGTTGTTGTTGTTGTTGTGCAGATTGTACAGATTGGCCGAATGGAGAGGAATTAATGTGTTGTCCATGGTGAGATTGTTGATGTCCGTAGATCATTTGAGCAGCATGTTGATGCCTCTGTTGTTGACTCTGTTGTGCCGCTGCCGTTGCTGCTTGCATTTGTTGTTGAACTTGTTGAGCTTGTTGCACTTGTTGCTGGTTCCAATTACCTTGTTGCCCTAACCAACCACCTGCATTACCGACAACAACTCCTTGAATAGAGTACGTCATGTCTTGTCCTTGGCCCACAGGATTCTGGATTTGCGTGTTCGGGTATTGTCCGTGGTATTTGGTGTAAAGATTAGCGTAGTAGTTTCTAACAGCTGTGAAGAAGGGGTCGCATATATCAGTAGAGATAACGTATGTACTCGTTTCGTTATTATTGATAATGTACCTTGAACTTGTTGCTGAGCATTGGCCAAATTCTCGGGAAGAACTTCCACATTTTGCTGAATTCCTCCGCCCATTTGAGAAATTTGAGCTTGCTGTTTCAATTGTTCATATTGCTCAACGCTTACGACTTGGTATTGTTGATTTTGGTATGTCAAACTTTGTTCAGGGACCACTGGCCCGTATGGGACGTTAAGTGGGTTTGGCGAGGAGATCACAACTAAGAACTGAAGAGGGAAACCTTGTTGCTGACCTTTGGGAAGGGACAATCTAGCAGGGAAGCTGAAGATTTGATGTGGCTGTAAAAACATATTATTACAGATTATTAAAGTATCTCCAAACATCTTTAATCCTTTTCTTTACAACAAACAAGTTTATGAAAACAAGTTGTTTTATTACCTCAGTGACATAGAATGGTTCCTGGGATCGGACAGCAGCATTGACTCCTTGCTGAATTTGAGAAGTAGACGGCCAATCTGAGCTCTGTCCAGGAGCTTGTTGAGAATTTCTAACAATGGTGTTTTCACCAGCATGGACTAAAATATAAAATATATTAAACAAATTGTTTGCAAATGAATAATAATTTATTAGAAGAGAGGAAACAGTTTGAAACTTACGGTTCTGGATAAATTGATCAAGCTCGACAAAGAGATGTTGATTCTTAGAAATATCAATGGGCTGGCCTTGATGATCGTGTTTGGGTCCAAGGAAGACACGGACAACTGCGCTTGGCACGTTCTGTTCGCTGTGAACTGTAATTCTATATTGGTAAGGTTGATGATCCAATCTCTTCAGATGTGCTCTAACGTGAGATTGAGTTTGTTCTTGTTCGTGTTGCTGTTGAGACTGCTGACCAGTAACGGCATCGAGATCCACATAATAATCGGTGAAAAGAGTTACGAGCTGACTGACATCGACATTCTGGATGGTTACTCCAGGAAGAATAAGATCATTGTATTGATAGGCAGGCAAAGATTGTTGATATTGTTGATAAAGGTTCATAACTTTTTTGTACAATTGATAGAAAACTGGATCGTGGACGGCAGCTTCTCCAAGTTCAAGTGACGATGGCGTGTAGTCCCAAATGTTTTGAACTTCAGGAGCATTTCCAAGAAGTTTGCGAGCAGCAGCTTGTAGACTTCCATAATACCTATTTTTAAAACGAGTAATAGAAACATATGTTGTAAGCAATTGTAAGCTATATTTTTGACTGACCTCGGATTAACACTTCTGCCAGTTCCTTCAATCAGATCACCAAGAATGTTCATACCCTGCGGTTGATACAGAGAAAGAAAGACGCCTTGTGGAGTAATGACATTTCCAGAATCAATAGCATCCCTCAGCCTTTTTTCTAAAGTCGCAACATGTTGGATAAGCTGGTTCCTTTGAGGTTGGAGTTGAAGATTTTTAGGACGGCCTGCGAATTCAAGTCCATTGAGACCGCGAAGATGCGGTTGGTAGAGACTTTGTACATTTTCGTAGTCAACATCCTCAATAGGACCAAGTCCGTTCGAAAGACGATTAAGTTCATAGCGTGCCAAAAGTTGTTGATGAAGGTACAAATATTGAGCTCCGCGACCAATGTTGGCTTGTTGATCTTGTTGTCCTGCTTGTTGTTGCAAATATTTTCCTACAATCTGTTGTTGATATTGTTGCTGAGTTAAAGGCTGCTGTTGTTGTTGATCCTGCTATTTAGAGAAATTGATTACATTAATTTATAATGTTTTCCAAATATTGATTACATTATTTATAATGTTTTTCCCAAGAAAAAAAAAGTATTTAATATTGATTTTTAGAATATTTACTTCTTGAATATATCCAGCAAGATTAACTTGGGCGTAGTATGCAGCAAGACCAACATCTTGAGTAAAATAAGATAATTGTTGTTCATCATTAGACAGGAGTGCAGAATAGTTGACTGGAATAAGAATGTTTTGTCGATTGCCTTTTTCTTGAGTGTTTTGAATAGCAATATTTTGAGCTTCTTGAATGATTCGTGAATCCAAATGATGTTGGGGTAAAATTTCATAAACTGGTGGGAAGATAACACCTTGGGTATCTGGACGAGTCAATACAGCACCAACAAGTGCCTGTTGAATAAAATTATGTAATGAGATACAGTATGTGCAATATGATACATAGTAAAGAATATTTCTAATCTAACATTTTTTAATATAATATATATTTTATAATATATTTTTATTAAATAATTCTTATACCTTAACAAATTGTCCTTCATTAACATGGACACGGGCCCATGCAGCAGTTTTGAGGAAAGTCTGGTAATCCTTAGCACCCAAAAGAATTCTATAGAGGAGAGAAACTTCTTTGCGAAGCTGGCTGATTGAATTGCTGAAAGTTGTACCTTGTGGTTGAACCAAACCTGCTTTTACAGCACCAGCATAGTATTTCACAATGATTGGGTTCTTATACTGATGAGAGTTATTCTCAATGTCATAACTAACACCAAGGTTTTGAAGTTCCTGATTTGGGATTGGTTGGGAAATTTTCTGTAAAAGTTGGATGACATCTTGTTGTTTGTTAAGGAGATCCTGGTCAGCTGAAATAAAATAAAAGCATTTCTTTGGTATCCAAAGATAATAGTATTTTTTACATCACATTATATTTTTGAAATATTAACATTAAAAGAATTTAACAAAACAAGTCAAACAATTCACTTATTAAGAATCAATATTTATTGTAATACATATATATATTATAACTTAAACAATATTAGAATTAAAGAAAATAAATAAATCAAAAAATTTCAAGAAGAAGAAAATAAATAATATAGAATTATTTTCATAGTATTCATATTAAATCTTTTAGAACTTAAAATTGTAAAAATAATAGTTTTAAATAATAACTTACCAGCACGTTGTTTGACGTTAGGGGCACAGACCCCTAAGGCTACCAAAGCCAGCAGGATAATGAAATACCTCATTGTGAAATTCAATGATGCGATGCGATGTTGACCGTCTGTTCAACCAGTCTTTTATACTCAAATTCTATCTAGGAAGGGGTTTATCGGCGACCTGCCGACCCACCTCCTTCAAGATTTCGCAGTCTACCCGCGATATTCTTAACTAAGTATTTCGAATGTGTTTGGCGCATTCGATCGAAGGTTAAATGATGATATGTATCATTGCAAATAGATTATGCATTAGATCCTTTTATACGGAGAACTAAATAGTACCGGTATCTTTACTCTTGCTACTCTTCATTCATTATATTTATTCAATTTTCTTTTCTTCGAAAAGCTTTATTTTCATAATATTTTATTAAAATATTATAAGTTATATTTATTTTAATTTTTATATTTTTCATTTAGTAAAAGTTCAACATAAAAAGTATCCAACAGAAAAAAAATCAGATTAAATTATATTAATTATGTTAAATTATTTTAATTTTATAATAATAATATTTTCTAATTCTTTAATTCGATATAAAATATAAAAGCAATTTTAAAAAAAAAGTTTACATTAATTTATAATTTCTTGTTAATACAAAACAAAAATAATGATGGAAAAAGGATAGGAATGTAGAACAATATTTGAAGATTAAATTTTTATTAAACAATAAATTTTTATTTATAATATTATTTTCCAATTAATTAAATAACTGAATCTCTTTTAGCTTAGTTACAAAAAAAATATAAAATGTTGAGGGTCATCTATATCTTCGAATGCGGGATAATAAGATAATATATGTCTTGAACTTTTCAGGTGACTAATATATACGCTAAGGTTATCATTTTATTTATTTTTTTAAATGTTTGACTATATTTTTATA